TGCCGAGGTGAGCAGTACTTCATGTTTTTCCTTGAGGGGTCAGCACAGCAGATCGTCTGCCTCCACCTCACCCTGTCTCTACTGTAGCATGCTACTTGGTCACACCAACCGTCCGCAGGTCCTTCACTACATCCATGAATCTTCTCTGTGGTTCTCTTTTCCTCCTCTATTCTACGTCCCACCTTGACCTATGGTCATGGGCTCTCGTTTAGAGGTAGGGTGAGGAGTCCAGTCCTTTTGTAACGGACTCAGAAGAGCCACTACTCCTCCACATTCAAATAAACCAGCTGAGGTGGTTCAAGCATCTGATTAGGATTCTTCCTGGGTGAGATGTTCTGGGCATGTGCCACCAGGAGGAGGTGACCCTGGGATACCCCCAGGACAGGTGGGGTTACATCTCTTGGCTAGCCTGGGAATGCTTTGTTGTTCCCCTAGATGGCCTGGAAGAGATGGTGATGACAGAAGACACATCTGATATTAATTTTGTGAACTGTGGTCCCAATTAGTGCATGCTTTAGGACGGGACTACCTTATGATTGACAGGTTGTTACCCTATGAATGAGCAGTATTGCTGAGTTTCACTAAGTAATGGGTGTAATGGGTGCATCCATTTTTTACATCCAGTCTATCACTTTACATTTCCCTAAAATACTGAGTGTGCTTCAGTAAAGCAGAGCATTGTGTATCTGCAGCCTGTGGACAGACAGCGAGGAGGAAACACGAGTCGGCAGCAGACAGCTGTGTTTTGGTTGTAATGACATCACCGCTCATTAGAGGCCCATCAGTTTTTGAGCAGGTGCACGGGTGTGTGTGTGCGCGCGAGCGCTCGTGCATTGTCATCTCTGCAGGATAGCATATTCCCCTCATGCACGGCTGTAATTACCGCCCACTTTCTTGCGGCGACATGCCGCATCCTGACACCAGTTAGAGCCACACAGAGGGAATTGAGGGTCTCCAATGAACCCCACGCCGAGCTTCCCTCAGCTGACCTGGCTGTCATCCAATCATCTTTTACGTTCTGCTTTTGCCACATATAGATCAGACCTTTTGTTACACGAACTGCTCCGAGTTTACACAGAGTAACTTTGTGTCTCTGGAAAACAGCTTTGGTGAATTCCAGATGCAAGATATATGCATATTAAAAAACGATATAACTATAAATAGGAGCAATATCAGCATTTTAGCTTCGTTGGGACTCTTGCTATTTCTGGCCGCAATCTCTGTGTCATGGTCCCCGTGCCTGCTCGGCTGGCCCTGTGTGGCTACATGTTATGTTTTGTCTTTTCTCTCTCTCCTCTCTCTCTGCTCGCTGCCTGGGCGGAGCTCATTGTGAGCTCCCGGCCTCCACCACCTGTAGGCAATCCCCTGTGGCTCCTCACCTTGTTTGCTCCCGCTACTTAAGGCAGTGACTGAGAGCACCTCGCCACTGGACTATTGAATAACGCTCGTCAGTGCTACTTTAGCCTCAGCCAGTTTTGAGTTCTGTCCGTGAAAGTTCCGTGCTAACCCTTGTTCTCTGTATGCAGATTTCTCGTGTTTGGTTTGGAGACTCTGGACGCTTTTCCCGACCCCGCTCTGCACCCCTGGGAACCCTGGCCCCCTTCTCCTTCACCTGTATATAGTGCACCTGGAGTGTGTAAATAAACCTGTTTTTCTGAGGTTTCAGTCTGCGCCGAGTCCTCCCTGCTCCTCCGTGACACTCTGTAAGAATGACAACGTGTTTTTTTGTGTTGAACACAGAATTTCTTTGATCTCAGTGGTTTAAAGCTTTTGAGGATTTTGCAGATAGTTTCAGAGAAACAGTAAAAGCCAAAAAGCCAAAATTCTGCAGATTAAAATAAAGAGCAAAAAAATAAATTCTAGCAACTACCAAGGGAAAAACTCGAGGCTGAAAAGCAAAAAACTGCAGTTCGTCTGATGGCCACTTGGGACTTTATCCAAAAGTGAGTCAAATCCCCACCCATACAATAAAGCTCCTTTTGCTGCTCTGTTATTGCCAATCAGAAAATCATTTTCCATGTAACCTTTATGGGTTCAAGTGTTTGTGCAACCACAACTATTGCCATCTGATGGCCTTTCACGTTGATCTCAGTTTCTGACCTCGAAGCTACATCCATGTTTTATACTGTCTATGACCCAAACTGAAGCCCAGACTTATTGGCTGATCCACCCCTCAGAGATATCACAGCACCAACAACACAAACACAGCTGAGGCACCCAGTTCAGTGACTAGAAAATTCTGGAGATGAAGCCAAGTGGACGCCAGAGTGGACGCCAGCATAAACTATTTATATAATTTTCTGTTTGTTCCAGGCTGTAAACATGTTGGTCATTTATAAAGTTACTAAAAGTTTTCACCACTAGATTTCAGTAGTTTGCCAGCTGCAGTCAACCGAGTTCTGTTTTCTTATTTGTCACAATTCAAGTGTATAATCCTAGCTATGGCATCTGCTATAAGACAAACAACCTTCCTTTCATATCAAACAGATCATCTGCAGAGGAATGGTTTATTTGAAGAGCTTCAGTCAGGTTTCAGAGCTCATCACAGCACAGAAACAGCTTTAGTGAAGGTTACAAATGATCTTCTTATGGCCTCTGACAGTGGACTCATCTCTGTGCTTGTCTTGCTAGACCATAATATCCTATTAGAGCGATTAGAACATGCTGTAGGTATTACAGGTACTGTGCTGCAGTGGTTTGTATCATATCTATCTAATAGACTCCAATTTGTGCATGTAAATGGAGAGTCCTCTTCACACACTAAGGTCAGTTATGGAGTTTCACAGGGTTCAGTGCTAGGACCAGTTCTGTTTACATTATACATGCTTCCCCTAGGCAGCATCATTAGAAGACATAGCATACATTTTTCACTGCTATGCAGATGACACCCAGCTTTATCTATCCATGAAGCCAGGTAACACACACCAATTAGTTAAACTGCAGGAATGTCTTAAAGACATAAAGACCTGGATGGCCACTAACTTTCTGCTTCTTAATTCAGATAAAACTGAGGTTATTGTACTCGGCCCTGAAAATCTTAGAAATATGGTATCTAACCAGATTCTTACTCTGGATGGCATTACTTCAGCCTCCAGTAATGCTGTGAGGAACCTTGGAGTCATTTTTGACCAGGATATGTCCTTCAACGCACATATTAAACAAATATGTAAGACTGCGTTCTTCCATTTGCGCAACATCTCTAAAGTTAGAAATATCCTGTCTCAGAGTGACGCTGAAAAACTAGTTCATGCATTTATTACTTCCAGGCCAGATTACTGTAATTCATTGTTATCAGGATGTCCAAAAAACTCGCTAAAAAGCCTTCAGCTAATCCAAAATGCTGCAGTACTCTTGTACTGACAGGGACTAGAAAGAGAGAGCATATTTCTCCTGTTTTGGCTTCCCTTCATTGGCTTCCTGTTAAATCCAGAATTGAATTCAAAATCCTGCTCCTCACATACAAGGTCTTAAATAATCAGGCCCCATCTTATCTTAATGACCTTGTAGTACCATATCACCCTATTAGAGCACTTCGCTCTCGCTCTGCAGGTCTACTTGTTGTTCCTAGAGTATTTAAAAGTAGAATGGGAGGGAGAGCCTTCAGTTTTCAGGCCCCTCTTCTGTGGAACCAGCTTCCAGTTTGGATTCGGGAGACAGACACTATTAAGATTAGACTTAAAACTTTCTTTTTTGCTAAAGCATAAAGTTAGGGCTGGACCAGGTGACCCTGAATCCTCCCTTAGTTATGCTGCAATAGACGTAGGCTGCCGGGGGATTCCCATGATGCATTGAGTTTTTCCTTTCCAGTCACCTTTCTCACTCACTATGTGTTAATAGACCTCCCTGCATTGAATCATATCTGTTATTAACCTCTGTCTCTCTTCCACAGCATGTCTTTATCCTGTCTTCTTTCTCTCACCCCAACCGGTCGCAGCAGATGGCCCCGCCCCTCCCTGAGCCTGGTTCTGCTGGAGGTTTCTTCCTGTTAAAAGGGAGTTTTTCCTTCCCACTGTCGCCAAAGTGCTTGCTCATAGGGGGTCATATGATTGTTGGGTTTTTTTCTCTGTATCTACTGTACAATATAAAGTGCCTTGAGGTGACTTTTGTTGTGATTTGGCGATATATAAATAAATTTGAATTGAATTGAATGTTTTAGTCAGCCAAGAGAGATCAAAAACATTAAATTTAGACTGTATTGGCTATGGCCGGTGTGTTTGTCTGGACTGGATCGGCCCTTGAGTTTTTTCCCCATCTGTGGAATGCTGCCAGTCTACTGTTTACCTCAGCTGTCAACATGGGTGAAAAGCATGCACTTTTACTTACTCCGGAAGAGGCTATAAAACTTTGTGAGGACTGTGATACGGGTCAGTAATTCAGAGACGCTAATCTGACCGATGAAAGCTGAACTGTCCGTAGTGCTGCTGATTTTGCTACTGTTAACTGCTGTTAACCCCTGTTAGCTGTTGTTAGCTGCTGTTCCCTAGCATTAGTGATACTTTCTTTGAAGTGGATGTAACATCGTTATTTTAGTTTAGTTTTAGCTAATGATAATAAACCTGTTAATTATACACTATTTTTATTTGTGAGTACTGTACGTTTACCATGGGAGCCTATGGAGACTGTGCCTCCAGCAGCCAGTAGAAAAACTCTTTTTGGTCCCTTTATATAATTTACTTCTTTAAAACAATTGTTCCAGGTTAGATTTTTGTTTGGGAACTCAGCCTTCAATTTTTATTGAGGCTTCATGGCTTTGGCGCTTTGACTAATTAAAGCTACAGCCTATTGTGTCTCCTAGGACTGACCCGTGCTAACTGGTTTGAGTTTAAGCCTTCTATAAAAATAAATTAGCTGATTAATATCATGAGACATCACTGCACTAATTAGGAGACGTGTCTGTGAGTTGCACCCTTATAGTTTATGGATTCTAACCAAGCTTGCTGCCATTCGGTTGATAACTAAGCGCTTTGCCTTCTTGTCGAAATATGGCCACTGACTCAAAATGATAAGATAAGATAACCTTTATTAGTCCCACACGTGGGAAATTTGTTAGTATACTTGTTAGTATATTTGTCATAGTATACATAGTCTATGGTTAGGACCTTGTCAGCATTAGGATACAGTCACTTCAGTTATGCTAAAATAGCAGTTACACCCTTGTGGGAACAGAACATTACCTTCTGACCTAAAAATGACTTCACTGTCTGTAGATTTCTATTGTGCAGCGTAGCTCAGCATGTATAAATAGCACAGCTGAAACAAAATGACAGTTGCTGTATCACATTTCATTTCAAATGTTGAGTACAAATCTGCTGCAAGCCCTTGTCTTTCAGAGGCAAATTGGTTTTCCTGTATGATGTGGTGAGATATTGAAATGTCTGGAGAGAAAAGCTGCAGCGATATACACTAAAAATTACTTGTCGCCATAGCTACCACCCACTAATCCCTGCTGAAAGCCCAGAAAGGATCAGCAGAGCCCAACATTGTCCTTTGATTGACAGAAGACGTACATGAATCTGTAGCATACATTGTGTGACTCCCAGCGATGTATTGTTTTAAATTAGCATGCTGTAGCAGCACATGTGTGTGAAGAAGCTGTTGTTCCTCTTTAAGGGTGACATATTTACCCCGTGTCAGAGAAAGGTGTGTCTTTTTGCCACTCAGCACTAACTGAATGCAATAATTACAGGTTGCAAAAAGGAGGAACAGACATATTACAGAAAAAGATGAACAGAGGATGTAAACAAACTCCCGGCTAGGTGCACACAGCAACACAACAGTCAGGTGCAGAAAGTACTAAAGTTGCTGTCACACCCATCAATCAGTGAAACCTGCTTCATCCTCCGCATGGAGGAACCACAGCTAACAGTGTGAGAGAGACAGGGTGAAAGGTTTACTTATTACAGATATTCTTAGACTTTGCTTGAGAAGGTTCTGGTTTCTCACCAGCTCTCAATCCATCAGAGCACCTTTGAGATGTGGGAGCCAACAAATCACATCAACGTGGACCAAAATCTTCATGAAGAAGAATTACTCTAAGGCAGTTCTGGAGTCAAAAAGGGTCCAACGCAGCGCTAGGTGTACACAACAAATTTTCCTTTGGATATATGTGCACACTTTGAAAACACTGGCTTCTCAGACAGTTATGAACCGTTTCATATGCTAAGTGACGCAATACGATTGGCTGATTAGAAGTAATTCACTCCTTGCAGCCAGGGGCCATCTTTAGCATCTCAAAAACCCTCCAGTCAATTTGTTGTTGTTACCTGGGGAAAAAGTGGGCAGGGACAATCTGAAATGATTAAATCTGATTGGCAGATTAATGCATATTACTGAGAATGAGTTAATCTGTCATGCCCGGCAGCTTGGAGTTTCTTCCACTGATGGCACGGAGATACTTGCTCAGTAATAAGAAAATAATGACATCCCACGGGTCCACTTCCACACTCAAAACATCCTTCTTTCCTCCCATTCCTGTGACGTGCTCATGGTGCAGATGTAAATACAGCTGCGGTCATGGTACTCAGCATCTAGGTAGCATCTTTTCAAACACTGACTGCTGATTCATCTCATCCAAGTCAGTTTTGTTGTCAATACACTGACAGTCGGGTACACAGAATATATGCTGGTCTCCCAGCTGTTGCATAGGATTTATGATGTCCAGTACACACAGTGAGTCTTGTGCAGCTCTAACTGCTGTTTTGGCGATGGCAGTTCACTTAACCAACATGAGTGCCAATAATAACAAAAAAAAGAATAGCCTTAAAGAATAGATAAATCCTTTGTGGTGCCACTATCGCTAAGAACTAAACTTAACCTTTAAAATGGATTACCATTTTAATAAAAAAAATCATTAAAAAAAGTGGCAGAACAGCACACTGGTGTAGTGCCTCAATTGTCAGGTGGGAGATCAATTTCATCCAGCCGCTCGGTGATGGGCGTGCTGAACAGAGCCGACTTCCTGAAGGGTCCCTTCGAGCTCCGGGCGGCAGTCACACCCTGTGACACAAAAATACACTATGACTTGGTGATATGGCCTAAAATCCATATCGCGGTATAATTTGAAGCACGTGCGGTAACGATATATATCGTGATATATTCTTTTCTTCTGTATAACGTATTTTCCACACTATAAGGCACACTTAAAATCCTTTAATTTTCTCAAAAATCGAGAGTGTGCCTTATGTATGAATTCTGGTTGTGCTTACTGACCTCGAACTGATTTTGGCGTGCAGAAATCTGTTAAAAAATGTTTTAGTACAACTTTGTTAAGCCACACTGCTTGATGGATTGTCAGAGCATTACGGCTGCCGTAGTGAGGAGCTTCGCGGAGTAATCTGGGTCCAAAACTCCGTCCTGTTCAGGTCCCAAACGAACACTGAGAGTTAAAAACGGTCTAAATTCTTTCATCTTTAATTAAATCATCAGTGATGCTGCTTTACCAGGTGTAACAATTAAGTTTAACATCCAGGCATCCATGAAAACAGAATTTATTAAATTTAACGGAGTTAGAAGTTAACAGGAAGTTAGCTCGCAAGTTTCCACCTAAACATGACATACCATGTTCTGACTGAGAGATTTTTGAAACTAATTAAAACGTACAGCTCTGCTACCACTTCCAACATAAATGAAGACAGAAAACTAAACAGCAGTGGCGTTTGCAGGGTTACTGAAGTTGGACTACCTGGTATATAATGTTGTGCTACCTGATTGCTAGCGACACAGCTATGTTAGCATAACATTAGCACAGTGAAGCTGGAGGATGAACGCCAACTTTTTTCCACTCGATAAAATTTAACGTGAGGGATTCTGGTGGTCAGGGACAAATGCAATCACATAGCAGGATGCTATACACGGGCCAAACTTCAGTCAGGAGAACAACTGAGATTATTCATCCACAATACGAGGTTAGTTATTAATATACTGCAACAACATGGGGATAGAGCAGCTGCGAGAGAATTCAACATTAATGAATCACTGTTACGGAAGTGGAGGAAGTGCAGTTTTTGCCTTTACCCATATTTCAACAGTGCTTCATCTCTTTGCTATGACTGCCGGCATAATTTGCAGATGATAATGGTTGTAGCTGCTGCAATGCTTTCCACCAAAACAGGCGCAGCTTGATGACGTCATCAACATGCACTATCGCGATAGAGCGGTATAGTCAAAATCTCTATCGTTGGCCAAATTTATATCGTTTCTATCGTATATCGTTTATATCACCCACCCCTACTATGACTAATCACAGCAGAGAGAGGTGATTAATATCCTCCTCTTGACCTTGGTGGATAAGTGTGACTCTCCTGCTGCTGTTGTGTGTTCCCTGACATATTTCATGGTGCTATTAGTGGCTAAAGAGTATTCTTTAAGAAAGGAAAACATCTGCTCAGACACTAAGGACAGACCGCAAACACAAGTGTTCATCATCAGACAGGGAAAATTGCTGTGCTGTTGATCACATATAACTTTCAACCGATAAATAAATCACTTAAATAGAACTTAAATATGGATATTTTAAAGGAGAGAAAAAGAAACCACTATGAGATAAAGCAGTCTGACTTACCTGTATCCGCTGGCAGTTTTCACTCCAGAATGTGATGGCCTGGTCAGTTTTGTAGTCATGAACCTGTAAAAAATTAAACCAGTAAAATGTCAGAAAGATTTTCAGGCTTTTATAGGAGAGGCTGATGATGTACTTATTATTTTAGGTATTCTGCTTCTCACAGCAACTGTGTATTTCACATAACCAAAATACAAACAACTCAAAGAGGAGGAAATAAAAGTATGGAAATTTATTTTGTAGTTTTGAAATCAGATTGTTGCTGTTTGGGGAGATTAAGCACAGACACAAACACACACAAAGTTTGTAACTCTACATACACGTGTTGTTTCAGGTTTATGAGGCACAAATCCCTCCACACAGAAATCCTTCTGGGTTGTGGAGCAGTACTCCGTTTTGGGAGTCAGTGGGTTCAGATCAGCATGAATCTTCTCACTGTGAAAACAAGAAGACAGAATCTAAGCACCAAGCAGCAGCACTTGCCTGTGATCCAGCACATACAGTTTTTGTTGTTGTTTTGTTTTTTTAAGTGTAGCATGATGTAATTAAATGATTTTGTAAACAACCTATTTACTATAAAATATACTGAAAGTTGCTGCACATTGAAAGGAGCCAGCTGAAGTGGTTTGGGCATTTATGCCTCCCGTGCGCCTCCTCAGAGAGGTTTGTGAAGCCCCTGGGCAGAACCAGGACATGCTGAGGAGAGACTATGTCTCTTGGCTGGCTTGGAAATGCCTTGGCTTCCCCAGATTAGCTAAAGGTGGAGGTGCTAGAGGGAGGTCTGGACATCTCTGCTGCCCACACAACTGAGACCCAGATAAACAGCAGAAAATGGATGGTTGGATGAATTCTAGGTCTTTCCTGAAATCAAAAATCAATCAGTGCTTCCCATCTGAACTCCTCAGACACAGATGATTTTTTCCTATAGTGACGTGAATATATTGAAAGAAGCCACACAAAAATTTTGAGGTGGGTTGAAGATTTATGCTCTCTCTTGTTTCCCAGTTTATGTTTTATACACAAAGCTTGCAGTCTGAACAAAGAGAGAAGTCTGAGTAACATGTCCAAGTTATCATTTAGAACATGCAAAGAACACTATTTCACAGCCATAAGCTGCACGTTAGAAAGGTATTTTGGAAACGAAATGTATGTAAGAAGCAGAACTTGTTTTGATCATCCAATTACCCAGTTTACACCTTTTCAAGTTTTCTCCATTTTCTTAAATTTGTTTTTCCATTCCTGAAATTTTCACATGGCTGCTTCATGTACTTAAGAAGAAAATTTGCCTTTAACTCCTGTGTGTAGGGCCTGCAACTCAGAAAATATTCAGAATTCATTCATAATGCTAAAGTTAGTATCATAAAAAGAAAATAAAATCAACTGCTTCTGAAAGGAGTGATTTAAAAAAATAATATTATATGCAATTATCCATCTGCCTCATTTGCTATTAAGATTAGCCATCCTGGAATGATGTCTGACCATACAAGGATGGTTTTTGCTTTCTTTCAAATCTTTTGACGGAACGTAGCACGCAAGCTGAAGCGTTGCATTCACTGGAAATAGTAAAGTCGTCTAGCCCTAGCAGGTGCAAGAAGCACTATTAGCCAGGCGCAGTCTGCTCATGCCCACACAGTCCAGCGAAGAGCTCTAATAAATGCAAACATGTGTGGGTGAGCTGATGGTGTGCAGGGCGTTTAAGGCTCCTGGTGTAAGCATCATTTATTTGCATCGTTTCACGACACTCAGTGTCTCTGTGGTATTACATATAGTATATAAAATATGTCATACTGGACTGAAATGAAACCCAAAGCTTGATACTCCGCCAATCTCCCATCTGGCTAGGATTATTTATACACAGTGTTGTGCTTTACATAACAGCCAATCAGCCAAATCATACAAAGCTATTGGACACACCATTGGTGTTTGCTTATAAAACTCAGGAAATTTAGTGTATGGTTTAAAATCAAATGATGACACACTGTCTACTACTAGTCAAAAAGTTTTCATTGAAGACATTACGCTTTACAGGCTTTTATGAGTTGTTAACTTGTGTGGGATGTTAACAACCACCTCTGCAGGGATGGACTTTATAAACCCCATAAGGGTGACTGGCCCCTGTGTAAAATAACACCATAAAGTCTGATTTAAAAGCTATCACAGCTGTGACTGAACAGTAAAACAAACCCCGACGTGTAAATATTACATCACCTTCCCCTCAAGACATGGTCAGGCAGTGCTCCTCGTCTCCATAAACAAACCACTTCCAGAAATAATTCGTTTAACATCAAAAGACTTGTTCATAGTTCATTTACCTTATCATCTGGGCAGTGTGTTTTTTAAGCAGCTCGCCTCTGATGCCTGAACCGAGGAAAATACAAAAGACAGGATGAACAGGGCATGCATAGAAAGCCATCCCCCAGAATAAAAAACTTTTTTAAATTAAAATAAGAAGAGGTCACATCAAATAATAAAACCTTTCAGCTCTTTGTAAATGCTTCTCTGTTCTTTACATGGCTCTTAATGGTATGGGTTTCAACATTTTTTTTCCATTCTGGCTGGTGAAAGATAAAGACACATACCCTGTAACCTCCCCACTGGAGTCTTTGGAGCAACATAAGCTGCTTTCAGCGTAGTCACAGACTCCATCTTGGACTCCAGGTCTATTGTGAGAATCCCCTTGTGGCCATGTATGTGCTTGTGTGTCTTTGGGTCCTCTGTATGGAGATCTGCAATGGCTCTCTGAGTAAAAAAAAAACAAAAAAAACAAAAATCACAGGATTTTTTAGTCGGGTGGAAAACCATAAAAATCTACAATTTTGGATAAGTAAAAAAATGTTTTTGTACTTTTTCCAACTGTACACCATCACAGCTGATTATAAATCAGACAATCAAGACATGACTGCAGTGCAGACTTTCAGCTTTATTTCAAATGGTTTTACAAATGTATTGAATTATCTGGTGAGGAATTACAACTATATTGATACACAATTACTGGCCAGTCCATTAGGTACACCTGTTCTTTTTAAACTGCTTTTTAATGCAACTATTGAATTAGCCAATTACATTGTAGTAACTCACTGCATTTAGACATGCAGATATGGTCAAGATGATCTGCTCAAGTTCAAATCAAGCCTCAGAATGGGGGAGAAAGGTCATTTAAGAACATGGCGTGGATGATCTGGGTATTTCAGGAACTGCCCATCTACACGAATTTTCCCACAGAACCGTCTCTAGGGTTTACAGAGAATGGTCCAAAAAAGAAAAAAATATCCAGTGAGCAGCAGTTCTCACGGGTAAAATGACTTGTTGATGCCAGAGGTCAGAGAATGGCCCGACTGGTTTGAGCTGAAGGCAACAGAAACTCAAACAACCACTTGTCATAAGCAAGGTATGCAGAAGGACATCTCTAAATACTACACAAAATAGCAAACCTTGAAGCAGATGGGCTACAGCAGGAGCAGACCATACGAAGAATTAAGGCAATTCTGAAGGTAGAATTGGATCCAACTTAGTGCTAGCAGTGCTAGCAAGGTGTACCTAATTCTGTGGCCCTGAGTGACATCCGTGTTATAACATATACTTGCTGTGTCAGGGACTCTGTCTTTCAAATATGGTTACCTAGACACCAGGTGTTAGCTCCAGATTAATTATTAGATTAAATTAGCAAACGTTGTTAAGAAGTCTCGCGTGAACTTTTAACATTAGCTAAACCTCGGAAATGGTTCACAGCACTCACCTCTTCGACCCAGTTATGCAACATCGGTTTTCCAACTTTATGTCCCACAGCGGCTGTCTGCTCGGTCATAACGGGAACAAAACTATGGAACTGGACTGAACGCAAGTGAATGGAGCTGCGGGTAGCTTCGGGATCGTCTTTCTAAGTTAAAGTTTACGAGCATCGCTTAGCAACAGCGTTTGTTCGACGGAAGCGTCGCCATGACAACAACAACAATGCACAACGTAGCACGTTGTAAGAAAAGGTAAACTTCCGGGTGGAATGCATTTTAAAACCTTATTTGGGGCCAACATTAGCAAACCCATGTTTTTAATCAGACTTGGCTGGTGATTCTATTTTATGAGCCAGTAGCAACTGAAATTAAATAAAATTTAGACAATGCTTTAAAACAGCTAAGATTTAAGATGGCTGTCAAATTGTGGGACTGTACGTTCCAGGTCCTAACCTGAGGTCCTCAGCCAAGGTTATCCCACAATTTCAGCTGAGAACCAAGGCTGATCCAGCTTTTTCAGTCAGTGGACCCACTCTCTGAATCAAGCTTCCTAAGAAGGCTCACTGTCATCTTTTAAATCCATCTTAAAGACATATACGCAGCTTTTTTCTGTGCCTGCACTTTGATTTACATTTATGTTCTCCATAATAATTGTTTTATCACCTTCCCCTAATTATCCTTTTTAATTCATTTTTTAATATTTGCTTTTAATTTACCTGTTTTTCCATTTCTAATTTTCTTTATTCCTTGCTCTTATCTCCATTTGTTGCCAGTATTCTTTATGTTATTTCATTCCATTTCCCATCTTGTACTGTGAAGCACTTTGTAACTTTGTTTTGAAAGGTGCCATGTATAAATAAAGTTATTATTATTCAAGTTATATATAGTCTGTCAAATATCATCCACATTTACAGAGGAGCTAAAAAGCTTTCCTCAGAATGAAAGTGGAATAAGACATTCTTCTTCACATTCTTTCGGGTGAGCACAGAGGCAGAGCTTCTAGTCTCCAGGAGACAGCTGAGCGAGAAAGTGCTGTCCCGTGGGGTGCAATTAAAGTGAACAAAGATGACACCCCTGTCATCTGATCACCTGGTAAAACGGCTTTACAGCCATTCGCTGATTGATACATCTACGGGTACAGCCATCCTGCTGAGCAAGGGTTGTGCTGCCATTGGAGGAACATTTCAGGTCAGAATTTTTTTCTCCCCCTCTATTGAACTCTCTTATTCTTCCATTACATAAGGCAGAGCTTGATTCAGCTGTGAACAGTGAAACAGCAACTATAAATCATCAAGTGAACATGAGAAAGTATAGTTGTATTAATATGATCCATACAGGCAGATTTTTATAAAGAAACTATATCTTTTTTAGACCGACAGACTCCAAGTGCAGCCCTTAATACTTCAATGTGTCTCAGTTCAGATACACTGTCATGTAGTACACTAGAAAGCACATACTTTCATTGTCAGTAAGGTGCTGTTGTCTCAAACTGCACATGGCATGTTGTGCATTTTTGGACAATATAATGATTTCTGCATTTGTACGACTGATTTTTCGGAACATTTACAACCTGTTCATCCACACATCCAGAGCAATATACTTCTAGATTTAATAAACAAAGCCCAGCAGACACATGGAAAGACCAGACAAAAATCTGCTTCTTGTGGAAACTGGTAGTCCCTCCCTGCTTGCTTCAAGATAGTAACGCTTGATCGTGAGGCCTTTTAAGTCTTCCACAATTGACAGTTTCACAATACATATTCTATGTGTCACAAACTGGCCTACACAAACATGACAGAAAGAGAGATGCACAGCAAATGACAATTAAAAACCTCTTCATTTAAAACTAAATAAACCACGGGTGGCCAACCAGTCAGAGACCAAGAGCCACTTTTTTATTGTGTTACCGCACATCATACACATGAGCACACATGAACATCACCCATCCCTTCCTCTCTCTCTCTCCCTCTCTCTCACACACACGCACAAAAAATACACACACCTCTGCTCAGCCAGATTTATTGTAAATGTCACACACCAACATGATAATGACAGAAATGGACTCCTACAGTACTAAAACCACAGGCCAGTCATTTTCTGTCATGAACCGAAGTTCAGTACGCAAGCTGGACCCAGAAGCAGAGACAACACGCACAGGAGTACGAAAAATAAACTTTATTTTAACTAAAGGTGTCCCGGAAGGGTCAAAGGAAAACACGCGAGAAACTAGAAAAACCAAGGGACCGGGGGATGAGTTACGCAGGAACGCAGTAATCGGGACTGTGGGAGGCTGCAACAGAAAGAGGGAGAGAGTTACTGGGGAGCGGGGAAATAGCAGCATACGTGGGGGGAGAGTATGAGTCAAAGCGGGGCCGTGGGAGCCGGAGGGAGGGGTGAGGGTCCGCGGGGGAGCTCCAGGAAATTAGAGGTGATTGGTACTGGAGGCGATCCAAACTCCAGACGGGCAGGTGGACAGGCAGGTGGCTCAAAAACACGTCGAGCTGTTACCTGAGCGCAAAAGAAAAGATTAGCGTTTGTTCAGGTAAATGAGGGTTTTCACAACCGCCTTCCCGTGGGTGTACGTTACCGCTGTGAGACGACTAACGGACTGGCGTGGAGCAGCTGGCTGGGCTGGATCAAATAGTCCACCTGATAATCACCTGAGATGGGATGCAGGTGTGGAGTTAACAGCCACACCCGTGGGCGTGGGCATCCCATCAGCTCCTCGGACACCGGGCTGCGGACCATGACATTTTCAACAATGAACATTGTGTGCACTGTCTCACACACACAAACTCTCAGTTCAACCAAGTCCACAAACAAAAATATAATAATCTACAATAGCATTTTTCTTTTACTATGCATGTTCTTTAGTGGGACTTCTGGCATTCCTTGCCTTGAACACTCTTCAAATTTGGCTTGTATTCCGTTGTTGTCACTCAAAGCAATTCTTTCACATGAGTGTCAGTCAGAACAGATCGATGCTTTGATTTCACATATTTTAGGGTAGAAAACACAGACTCGTGACAGTATCTTAAGAGCAGCCCATTTAACATTGGGGTATTTTTCCATTGGCACACTTTTCCAGAACTCAATGGTCCCTTCCCTTAAAACAGGTTTCAATTGGTCCTCCTCATAAAGATCAATCATCTCCAACTCAGCCGCAGCTTCATCTGTGACTAGCGGGACTTTCAAACAGTCCGTCTGTGCATTAAATGGGTCGACGAGGAACGTAATCTGTGGCCTTTTCTATTGTAGATCACGGAACCAGGTCACAAAGCTTTCGTGCAAGTTTTCAACCAGCATTGCATATCTGGCTCTTTGCTTACTCAGGGCGGCGCTGGCAACTTGCCCGCTGGCTTTAAGCAGAGTGGGAAAATGCGTTAAATCTCCTTTTTGAATATGCGCCTTGGACAGCTGTAGTTTGTTGACAAACGCAAACACACTTTGCACCAGGTCAGGCAGCATTTTTAACTTACCCTGCAGGGTCAGTTTTAGTCTTTCCAAGTGACACAGATCCATAATCCATTTGAGGTCCGAGAGCTTGGGATAGTCCTTGTCCTTCTCTTCCATAAACAGTTTCACGGCATCCAAAAGCTCAAAGACGCGAGAGAGTACCTGGCCTTTTGACAGCCACCTCACAGTGCAGTGCAGCGGCAGGTCACCTGGAAGCCCTTGGTCCAGCTCAGCGATGAGATTCTTGAATTGTGTGTGGATATAGTTGACGACTTCCATCACAGGATTTAAGACGTTATGTAAATTCATTGATTTAGACACGAGTTGCTCCATGTGGATGATGCAGTGGAAATTCCAAAACTCAGGAAATGTTTGGTCAGCTTTGCACAGCCCCACAAGCACGTTCACAGATCCCATCATGGCTGGTGCTCCATCCGTGGCTATTGCAGTTAGTTTCGTTATGGTCAGATTTGCTTTTTCAAATGCAGCCATCATGGTTTCTTTTACGTCTATGCCACGGGTTCTGTCTTTTAATGGCACAATATCCAGGAGTTCTTTGATCACGCAATTGCTTGACACAGACGATTGCCAATTGAGGCTTGTCTTGTATATCACAACTCTCATCCAATGCGACACTAAAATACTCGTGCTTGAAGGTCAGAGTGCAACTGTGTTTCAATAACCGTGTTAATGTCCGATATTCTGTGTCCAACAGTGTGCCGGACAGTTGGACGTCTGATACCATGTGTTTTAGTTTGTCGTTTTCAGGAGACAAGATTTCAACAACATCACTGAGGCATTTTTTAACAAACTCCGCTTCATTGTATGGGTTTTTAGCCCTTGCAATGTTCCAAGCCAGCTGATAGGAACGTTATGGTCTCTAAGCGCTTCGTAAACTTTGGGAAAAACTGTATCTGCTTTTCTGCCTGACTTTTCAAAATGGCCAACTCGTGCTTGCAAAGTTCAGTCCCTTTTGGTAATCCCTGGTTAATGTTAGCATGGAGTGAGCTTTGAAGCTTTGAAATGCGCTAATTACATCTGACATATGAGACATGGCTTGCCATTGCGTTTAACAAAAATATATAAACTCTCCCACTCTGTTTAAAACGTCCTGTATTCATCTTCATGGTTTCGTTTTGCTGTGCATTTTTTCCCTGCCATTTTAAGGGTGAACTTGCCCCTACTGGGAAACTTTGCGGTATTTTCATCTCACCCACATGCGCATTTGATGAAAATACCATATTGAATTCAAGCAAAGTGAACACGCACATTTTAAAACAACATCAACAACAAAAAACCCTCCAAAACGCAAACACAAACTTTGATATGTACGTAAGAGCCGCATGAAAGTAGGCAAAGAGCCGCATGCGGCTCAGGAGCCGCGGGTTGGCCACCTCTATGCTAGGCTGTCACAGAGGTAGTCATACATGAGAGAGCAACATTTCTTTAATAAATATGTTAACAATCAGACAGTTTAACACTGCTGGCTTTAACATTTCTGAGTATTTATCCCTCTGGGGAGAAAAGTGAGAGAAAGGAAACAGAGAAAGAAGAAAATGACAATGACATTATTTAAACAGAAGCATCAGATGAGCCTTCAGCTGTTCGGTGAGGTTAGGTTATGTCATATGGAAACCACAGGTATTATCAGATGTGTGGCATTCGACTTATTCTACGCCAGGTTGAGTTATATCCCATTCATTATGTCATTAGCATTACCAGACAGAATTTCTGTATAGTATTC